GACTGTATCTTTTTTTGGGGGGGCCTGGGCGCTATCCCTGAGTTCTTTTGCTAAAGGCTAGTGCTCTACCACTTAAGAGGCCCAGCACCCCTTTGATTTTCTAGTAGTTCACTGGATATGAGTCTCAGGGACTTACCCATGTAATTGTGGCCCCTCTGAATGGTATTTTCACAAATTAAAAAAAGAGGGGAGGGGGAAGAGGGGGAGGGGGGGAGAAGGGGGGGGAGGAGGAGGAGGAGGGGAGGAGGAGGGGGAGGAGGGGAGGAGGGGAGGAGGAGGGGGAGGAGGGAGTTTCCTGCCCCAGCCTGGCTTTGAGATCCTCAGATCTCAGCCTCCTGAGGAGCTAGGACTGCAGGCATGAGCCACCAGAGCCTGGCTAGGCTACCTCTTTTATAGCACACCAATTCCTCCCACAAACTAAGCAATCTTGTGCAGGGACAACAAAATAACATGCACAAAAGGCAGTTCACAGTAGCATTGTTCATACTTTCCAAAAGTTTGAAATTTAAAAAAAAAACTTTTTTCAGGAATTGCAAGTATAGTAAACAACAAAGGTGAGCTGAAAGCCGCCCGCCCAGGGGCTGCTGCCCACTTGTGGCCCGGGACTGTTTCTAACGCAGGAAGCACTGCATGCTCCCTCCGTGCATTTGTTAAAAAAAACTAATGCCCCATTAAAAATTATTTGTTCTCAAAAAAACCAACAAAAAAACCCATTGGAAGGATAAACAAACTTGTATTCACATAATGGATTCTTACAGTAGCTCTTAATACAAAATCATCTTCCTTTAAAGGGACACTTGTCAAATTCTGCCACCAAGGCTAAGGGAGGGCAGAAAGGAGTGTGCTACTGGTCATTAATTTGGCAGAGGTCAAAGATGCTGGCAAACGTACTATAATGCACAGGAAAACCCACCACAATTAAGAACTGTCTGCATGACATCAACAAGAATCAGTAAGTATTGTATAGGTAACATGAGATGAATCTCATAAACAATGCTTTAGCAGAAGAAATAAGAGTAGGTACAGTTATTATCTAAAGAAGCACGGGCATAACTATTTTGCTTAAGAACAGATTCACTAATGGTAAAGCTATGAAGAAGAGTAACCATTACAAAATCAAAGCAGTACTTATCTCAGTGGGAAATAAAGATGGCTGTAATGATGACAGTCACACCAGAGAGACTGGGGGGAGGGGGGGGGGGAAGACAACAACTCTGTGATGTCCTAGCAATGCTCTTTTTCTTAATGTGAATTCTTCCCACATGGGGATACCTAATACAAACTTATATGTATATATTTTGAGCAGTTCACTATATATATATATATATATATATATAAAATGTTATTATATATATAATGTATATATATAATATATATAATATACATATATAATTATATATATAATACATATATATAATGTTACAATTTAAAATAATTTAGTAGCTAAGGCACAAGTGGATCACGCCTATAACCTTAGCTACATATGAGGTTGAGATCTGAAGATCATGATTCAAAGCCAGTCCAGGCAGGAAAGTCCATGAGACTCTTACCTCCAATTAACCACCAGAAAACCAGAAGTGGCACTGTGGCTCAAGTGATTGAGCCCTAGCCTTGAGCTGAAGGGCTGAGGGACAGTGCCCAAGCCCAGAGTTCAAACCCCACATCCAATAAATAAATAAATAAAATTTAGTGGGTTTGTTTTTGGGGGGGGAGTGGGGGGTCCGGTCGTGGGGCCTGAACTCTGGGCCTGGGTGCTGTCCCTCAGCTCGTCAGCTCAAGGCTAGCGCTCTACCACTTGAGCCACAGCATCACTTCCAGATTTTGTCTCTTTTTTTGCTTATGTGGTACTGAGGAATCAAACCCAGGATCTCATGCATGCAAGGCAAGCACTCTACCACTGAGCCACCTTCCCAGCCCCTAAATAAAATTTAGTAATACTTAACTATCTATATATCCCAGACATGTAAGTAGGTTAGAATTCATTAAATTCTGAAAACACCTATTAGTAAATGAGAAATACATTAGTTCTATCTCCCAATTGCAGAAATTTAGACAAAGGTATCAGTTCCATTAAAAACCGATAATACAGGCTGGGCGCTGGTGGTTCACACCTGTAATCCTAGCTACTCAGGAGGCTAAGATCTGAGGATCGCGGTTCAAAGCCAGCCCAGGCAGGAAAGTCTGCGAGACTCTAATCTCCAAATAACCACCAGAAAAGCAGAAGTGGCACTGTGGCTCAATGGTAGAGTGCTTGCTGAAAAGCTGAGGGACAGCGCCCAGGCACAGAGTTCAAGCCCCACGACTGACAAACAAAACAAAACAAAAAACTGATAATACAGTAAGGATATAAAACTAGTAAAGAAAATTGGACAATAAGAAACATGTTGTAAGCCGGCACCAGTGATCTTAGCTACTCAGGAGGCTGAGATCTGATGCTCACAGTTCAAAGACAGCTGGGGCAGAAAAGTATGTGATACTTTTATTTCCAACCAACCACCAAAAAGTCGCAAATGGAGCTGAGGCTCAAGTGGTAGAGCACTAGCCTTCAGCACAAAAGTTCCAGGACAGTGTTCAGGCCCTGAATTCAAGTCCCAGGACCAGCACAAAAACCAAAACCAAACCAAACCAAACCAATGTTGTATAACCAATTATCACAGTCTACTCTACCACAGTCCTCTGGAGCCTAACTCCAGTCCTTAGAAATTCTGGAAGTCAAAGCAAGATGCATACTTCAAAATTATTCCACAGAGGAACAAAGAAGTTTTGATGTGTGTGTATAACAACTCCCATTTATTAGTTAGAGGCAGGGTGCCAAACTATGTACTGAGAATGCCTTGGGACTCACACAGATTTATATAAGCCCCCGGGGGTATTTTATTTATAACCATTATTTGGTATTTCTTATGCAACACAAAAACCTTATTAGTTAGCATCAGTAATTCACATTTTCAGCATCAAAATATACAGACTGGACAGTATATGTTTGAGAAGCTCAGTTTTCACAAACACTGACAGAAAAACCAATGGAAAATGTGGGTGCCTCCAAGGACTGAGGACTTATATAATACCCAACAGGTACGTGCACAAGTTACTAAGTAGTTGATGAGTATACAGAAGCAGAATACAACTTTTCATACATTGCTTTTGTAAATGACTAGCAAGCTGTTAGGACAGTTTGGATATAACTGCCTAACAAAAGGAACTGAAGTTAATTTCTCTCAGCCTAGTGGTGGCATGAAAAAAAAAAAATTACTAAGACATTAATGGGGCAAGGAAGTGGGAAAGTTCAAAGAACCCTGAATAAGTGCTCCTAGGTGACGTTAATTCTGGCAATCCTGGGCTCAAAAATTTGGTTTGATATTATGACATTTTTTTTAAAACATTACATATTTGTTACTACTACCTGGACCTCTGTTTTGAGTTGTATTTTACCATTGAGAGCTGCTCATGTGTTTGAATATTAATGGGCATGATGAGTTTAATTTCTATCACTGGTAATCTAATAAATGCTCAATACTATCATTTCAAATTTATGTCACATGATATTATGAAATTTATGTTATTTGATAATTTTTTTCATTTTTATTTCTTATTGTATTATACTCAGAAATTGTGTAATATCCTAAGTAAAACTGAAGATGGGCCATGATATCTGAGTCCTAAATTCATAGTGTTTTGCCATTTAAGTTAGATAATGCTTTTTTTCATGGGGCTTAAACTCTGGCATTGGGCGCTGTCCCTCAGCTCTTCAGCTCAAGGTGAGCGCTCTACTACTTGAGTCACAGCGCCACTTCCGGTTTTCTAGTAGCTTATTGGAGATCAGAGTCTCATGGACTTTCCTTCTCGGGCTGGCTTTGACCTCAGATCTCAGCCTTCTGAGTAGCTAGGATGACAGGCATGCACCACCAGCACCCAGCTCTAGATAATACTTTAACAAGATATTTTTGTATATTTTTTGCATGCTGAAGGCAGTCACGAATGAGTAAAGTGTAACAAGAGTTTTCCCTAATCTGTTATATTTTACCATATTCATTAGCATAATAAAACCCTGTTAGTCGATTTTTAAAAATAAATCTTGGAATATCTGGTTAAGAAAAGTTCTACCTAGTCTTGAAACAATAAAGTAGATTTAGTTTTGAGAGACGCCATTCTGACCAGTGATCTCAAAAGATCACTACTCTTGGGCTGGGAAGTTGGCTCAGTGGTAGAGTGCTTGCCTTGCATGCCTGAGGCCCTGGGTTCGATTCCTCAGCACCACATAACCAGAAAAAAGCCGGAAGTGGCACTGTGGCTCAAGTGGTCAAGTGCTAGCCTTGAGCTGAAGAGCTGAAGGACAGCACCCAGGCCCAGAGTTCAGGCCCCACAACCGGACCAAGAACAAAACAAAACAATAAGATCACTACTCTTTTTTCTACTGGAAAGCATAAAACAGTGATATACCAACTGATTTCCTATCTGCAATATTTAACCTGTTAAGATATACCCAGAAAAGAAAAATATACAGTAATGGGCTATTAAAATAACTGTAGACTTTTATTTTTGCAAATTGTCTTAGGAATTTCCAACTCATTATAAATTTAAAATCCAATTCTGATACTCATGGTTTTTAAGCTAAACTTAGCTGAGCTTCCAAAGTAGAAAAGTATAAAAATAATGACTAAACTACTGGTAGTGGTAAAAATAATAAATGGTAACAGCTAGCACACTTCCTAATATAAATCTGACATACAAATAAGATTTTATCTTATAATCTAAAAAGAATAAAAATCAATAAAACTATGAATGTAGATTTTCACTCACAATCTGTAGAAACATAGAAATGTAGTAACATATGGGGTAAAACTGAGTAAAATTAATATCCTTAAATTACCAATATTTTTCTTTATCAGAAAAAGATCAGAACACACTTCTAAGATTAATTATATATTACTAGAGGGAGATGAAAAGTCACATGACTAGACTGACCAGCTCAATGTACACATTTATTTAACGTTCTGTACCTCGACATCCTGAACACTGGATAAAAAAGTTGATTAAATCCAGAAGTGCGATGTCCCTGTCTTGTTTATATGATTCAATCCAGTCGTCCACCACAGACTGTGGGAAAAAAAATATAAAAATGAAAAGCTCTAAAATTTTGGTATTATAGCAAATAGATTTTCCAAAAAGTTTTTGTGTGTGGGGGGGGGGTCTATTTGAACAAGAAAATTACTTACCTTAAACTATTTTTTAGTAGTCAAATAAAAAGCAGATTGCCTTCTTTTTACTAAGGTTATTAAAATACATATTAGTGGGTCGCAATGACTTGTTCATAATAAGAGCACAATACAAAGTTCAATAATTTTAAGTAGATATGGATAATATTAAACCCATATTATAAAAACATCACAAAAATTAAGCCAGTTTCAATAGATATAAAAGCTTTCTGAGTATCAGAAAACCTAATCCATTAGTAGTGTAGACACACTGGACACCACATGCAACAAGATGCAGTTTCTTTAGAAATGTAAAGAATGATTCAATAACCTGAAATCAAGTAATTGAACTTATCAATAAAATAAAGGAGAAAAATCAAATAGTTATACTTCTAGATCTCAAAATGGTATGTGATAAAATTCTGAAGTCAATCCTAATATAAATTTCCAGGAAAATTAGGGCTCGATAGGGATGGAATCTAGGTAAAAAATAAAGACAAAGATTAAAATATATTAGTTATTGAAATACCTAAGATTGATGTAACCAAGTAATTCAATACACTAATAACAGAAAAATCTGATAAGATAGCTGACAAAAGATAAACATATAAAATAGCTATAGTTGAAAGGGGTGCTATAGGTTAAGTGGTAGTGTGCTAGCCTTGAGCTGGAGGACAGCGTTCAGGCTGAGTTCAAGCCCCATGACTGACAATAAATAAATAAATAAATAAATAAATAAATAAATAAATAAATAAATAAATAAATAAATAGCTATAGTAGTTGCTGTAATTTAAAAATAAAAGCATATGTAGCCCCTTCACAACTAAAAATAACTAAGGAAAGGATTCAGGAGAGGTGAAAATATTAAGAGAAATGGCTTAAAAAAGAAAACAATTTTAGTAAGACTCATGTTCTAAATTTAAAAAAAAAAAAAGTGGAAGTGAAACTGTGGCTCAAAGTGGTAGACTGCTAGCCTTGAGCAGAAAGCTTGGGACAGTGCCCTAAACTCAAGCCCCACAGCCAAAAAAATTTAAAAAAAAAAAAAAAGTTACAAGAACAACAACAAAGATATACTACTATAGAGACAAACTGTTTTCCCAACTTTGTGAGGCAAGTTCAACTTCTGGGCACTCCAGTTAAGATTCTATGAAGTTTTCTTGGGTGGGAGTTGTGGGTGGGATCAAACGAAATGTATTTAATTGAAACAGTTGTAACATTTTCTCTGTATTTATACCAAGTAAATATGCATCAATCTTAAGAAACATAGCTTTTGATGAATCTATTCTTTTCCATTTTATAGCCAACCCACAGTAGACTTGTTATGACACATAATTTATATGTCAGGGGTGATCAGACTGTTAATTTTCTAAACAAGTATAGTAAAATCTAATACGGTATCGGATTTTCAGGGGCTACACCCTCTTACCAGTACTAGCTTTTTCCAATTTTACCCATTGTGGGGTAAGCACACCCTTTCTTTTAGCAACTTTTTTGGAGAAGAACCTATTCCTTTCCATTCCTTTCTCATCACATTAGTATCTGGAAAGTTTCTTTGAAAATTACAAAAAGATGGTGGTAGGACAAGGTAAAAAGAAGAGGGGCTGGGAAGGTGGCTCAGTGGTAGAGCACTTGCCTTGCATGCATGAGGCCTTGGGTTCGATTCCCCAGCACCACATAAGCAAAAAGAAAAAAAAGCCAGAAGTGGTGCTGTGGCTCAAGTGGTAGAGCGCTAGCCTTGAGCTGAAGAGCAGAAGAAGAAGGAGAAGGAGAAGGAAGAGAAGGAAAAGGAGAAGAAGAATGCTGAAGGCTCAGCTGTACTAAATGCATCAGCTAGCAGTGATGGTGAGAACCAGAGAGGAAAGAACTCATCAACTGTGTGACATGTTCACCCATGTGCACGTGCATGCGCATGTGCACACACACACAACCAGATGGGCTGGGCACTGTCCTGAAATTTTGTGCTCGAGGATAGTGTTACAGCCACAGCTGCTTCTCATGACTTTCCTGGCTGGGCTTGCTTCAAACCTCAATCCTCAGATCCCAGCTGCCTGAATAGCTAGGATTACAGGTATGAACCACTGGTATCCTACCCTCAACTGACTTTTAGACCTAAAGCCTAACAAGAAGAGTTTTGTGACCTAGGTAACCATGTGTGGAACAAAGCTGAGGGAGAAGACATTCCCCAATGTCTAGATTGACCAAGTATTAGCAGGCATTCTAATATGGCAACAATATTTTTCTTTGTTTTCCCAAATTATTTTTCCAATTTGTGCTCTCACCAGTTATATGTAAAGTGCCCAAAACATCTTAAATTAAGAACTAGCATGCTGTCAGAGGAGTGAAATTATGTCATTTATAGGGAAGTCATTATGAGATTCAGAGAGTATCATACAGAGTGAAGAGCCAGGCCCAGAAAGACAAAGGTTTTATGTTTTCTCTCACACGTTTAGGCCTAAAATACAACCTCTCATACAAACAAACACAAAAGCATATGCATGTGCAAACAAGCAATCTGAGTAAAGTACCACATGCACAGTAGTGAAATTACATAGTGTAAACGTTTCAACAACTGCCAGACAGTTTAATAAAATTACCACGTTTAGAATGGGGGTGGGGAACAGGTAGTAGGGAAGAGGATAGGTGAATAGAAATACAATAGTAGACAAATACAGTCATGATACTTGATGTGCACATGTGAAAAAGAAATGGAGAACTCTGTGTCACCAGTGGGGAAGAGGGTAGATGGTAGTGGAAGAATGATGGAGGAGGAGACTGACCAGGATAAATGGGTATGTTAAAACTCAACCCCTAACACAGAAATCTAAAGACAGAAAAATAGACATTATTTAAAAGACTCGTATGCTAGAAACTGCATCAGAAACATTACAATTTACTACAAAGATACTGAATGCTAAATAGATGAGAAATAATTATTAGTGTAAGACAACCAGGTATACAATACAGCCACATTGAGAGAGAACTTAAAACTACGATAAAGAGGATATTTCAATGTTTGAAAAATAGTATTACTGAAAGATGGTACTGAAATAGCTGACTATTCATCCAGAAATAAATACAGAAGGGCCATGTGAAACCTCTCAGGGAAGTGTGGAGATACAGGAACGTAAAGATCTGAACTTGAGGGAGAGAGATGAACACTCTTGGGCTGGAAGAAACATTTACCAAGTATGGCATAGTCAAGAAGTAAATGATGTAGTCTGCCTTAATGGAAAGGACATTGGCAGACATTAGAATTAAACAGGTAGGGAAGGAGGAAGGCAGACACACATAAAAGCCACCTCATAATCAAATTGGTAGAAATCTTAGGAAAGAAGAAAAATTTTATAGCAGCCACTGGTTAGATGCAGGGAAGCAAAGAGTAAGAACCACAGTAAGCTTCCTAGTAAGAGCTATTTAAGGGGCTGGGAAGGTGGCTCAGTGGTACAGTGCTTGCCTTGCATGCCTGAGACCCTGGGTTCAATTCTTCAGCATCACATAAGCAAAAAGAAAAAAGCCGGAAGTGGCGCTGTGGCTCAAGTGGTAGAGCGCTAGCCTTGAGCTGAAGAGTTGAGTGACAGCGCCCAGGCCCAGAGTTCAGGCCCCACGACCGGACCCTCCCCCTCCCTCCAAAAAAAGAACTATTTAAGTTCAGGGACAATGGAATGCCCTGAGTAAGGAAAATCTGTATATTCAGTAATTCAGTCATTCTTATCTACTCCCGAAATAATCTTTCAAATAAAGGCAAAACACAACTTTTCAGACTTGCTAGACATGATGGTACAGCCGGCCTGTAATGCCAGACCTTGGAGACTAGAGCAGCAGATCAGTAATTCAAGACATGGGCAATAGCGCAAAATCACGACCCTCAGATCTCAGCCTCCTGAGCAGCTAGGATTATAGGCCTGAGCCACCGGCACCTGGCCAAGCAAAATATATTAAAGAGGTCAATTTTGAGTTACTGAACTAAAGAAATTTGAACTGTCCACATATTTACATTTTTAAGAATAAATAATACTTTGAGATCAACAGCAAACTATCTGGATAAATACAGAAAAGACTCATTCTTCTGGTGAGTAATTTAGTAATAAGCGAATCTTACAGAAAATGTTATCCAACATTTCGAGTTGAATCACCTTTTATTTTATTTTTTTTGGGTCCAGTCGTGGGGCCTGAACTCTGGGCTTGGGCCCTGTCCCTCAGCTCTTCAGCTCAAGGCTAGCACTCTACCACTTGAGCCACAGCACCACTTCCAGCTTTTTTCTTTTTGCTTATGTGGTGCTGAGGAATCGAACCCAGGGCCTCAGGCATGCAAGGCAAGTGCTCTACCACTGAGCCACCTTCCCAGCCCCTTGAATCACCTTTTAAAAGTAATGTTCTAGGTAGCGACTGGGGCTCTGTGCAGGAGGTGAGGAGAAACTGGTAGAAGAAACAAATAGGAAAAACGAACTCAGTAAGTCTATTGAAGGTATGAATAATATTACTAATGAGTGTGACCTAAGTCACACATAGAAAATACAAGACCAACAATGACAGAAGGCATACTTTTTTCAGACATACATAGATAGCACCAACATAACCCATAAGTCAAATGTCTAAAGAATGAAATAATAACAGAAAATGTTCTCTGACTGTAATAGATGACTTTGAAAGCAACAACAAAAAGGCACCCAAAGTAACTATGAACGTGTGATAGTTAGAAAATATTTGAGCTGGGTGTGGTGGTACATGTCCGTAACCCCAGCCATAGTGACTTGGAAGGCAACAGCCGGAGATGACAGCTAACCCAAGAAAGATGGTGAGAAACAGTCTTAAAAACAAAAGGGTTCTGCTCAACTGGGAGAGGCCTTGCCTAGCAAAACTCCTGAATTCAATTCTAGGAGGAGGAAAGGAATATTTTAACTG